GTGTGATTAACAACTCAGGTAGACTCTCTTTTAAGGTACTATTATGCCCAAAAATATAGGCTGCATTTCTTTATTCATTCTGAACGTTTGGAATAAGCCAAGGTGTATTAAACAAGGTGGTGTTGGGGCGACAGCTGAGTTTTTCGCCGTGGAGGCCATTACGTCAAAATGATGTGTTTGTTGTACTCATACCAATGACAGTATGGACATCAGCGTATAATTTGTTAGTGTAATTGTTTACTTATATACGGCCAACACCACCTTGTTAAATACGCCTTGGAATAAACTTTTTTGTTTATTTATTCTTTAGAACGTTCCTGATGATATGTTGACGTATATTTCAAACGCATTCTGTTTATTCCGGCTGTGAAATGGGATTATCCGGATTGTATAAAGAAACGCAGCCGTAAACAATCGATTCCAAATTCATACAAATTTTTTTCAATTTGACTTAATAGGATGGTTCTTCTGAGAGCAATGTCATATTCATTCACACTTTGTTAAATACATTTTGGTATCAGTATAGCAGCTGATTTGATTTTCTCCAAATTATTTGGTCTCAAAAATGTCGAAAATTCCTTCTCACAAAAATTTCAAATTGTTAAAATCTATTTGCATGTGAATAGCAGCTTTTAGAGCGCTTGCCCAACTCAGCAGCTCAACCGCTGATTACTAGGCCTCGCAAAGGATGGATCAATGCTTCAAGAAGCAAACAAATTTACTAAGAAAGAAAGTTGTAATTGAGAGGTAGTCTGACGTTTGCCAACAATATAATTTTAAAATCAAAACTCAAACTCACACATACATTCTCATTTTCAATCTCAAACAACAACAATTGTGAACAATTTAATTTTTTTATTTTCAATTTTATATGATTTTAAAATGTTGGCAAACGTCAGAAAAAAATCATGGCCGACGAATTGAGATAATGAATTTACTTTGTAATATTTTTATGGTTGTAACAATTTTAAGTTGCGATCCCGTACTAGCCCGGACTAGCCAGACCTAGTCAGAAGCAGTCAGATTTTACTGGAAATCAGTGATCGGAGTTAGTAAAAATCTGTGTGGTAGATTCTGGAAAAAAATGTGGTAGATCTCAGTTTTCGGTTTACAAAAATTAAAAAAAAAATCTGCAAGGTTTGACCTTAACTGAAAACTTTTTAATTCGAATCTCTAGAAAAAACTTTTAACTTGGGTTTTGCCAATTTTGACAATCCTCAAGAAAAAGTAAACAACGCGTTAAAAACTTTAGATGCACTGTAATGTGCTAATTTTCACAAAAATCGCCGATATTTTACGTTTTCTTCATTAGTGCTTTTTATAAATCATATATTTTGCAATTTAACATAATAAAATTACGTGTCCCGACGAAAAATTTAATATTGAGAAATTGAGAAAATTCACTGTTTGACAGTTTCTTTTCTCCTCCCATTCGGCTTTGTTTACTTCTACTTGAGAAATCTCATCGTCGCCGGGAATGCGAAATCTTGTATATGTACTATCATTCTTGTTATTAGGGACACGAGCTTCGATATTTTTGCCATTCGATACCGATACTTTTTACTTGAAAGTTTTCAAACGATATTTTTTGGAATCGAGTACCAGAGCCCTTGTATCGTATCGAATCGTAAATGTACATGACAAAGTTAATGTGAATAATGATACATTTGTATGACAAATTATTAGAAAATAAAATCAAAACGTCGAAATTTAAAACTCTGGGAATTGGGCAAGACTATTTGTATAAAACATTTTCTAGTAATATTTGAAATATTTAAAATTAATTTTCCAAATTCCAAAATGTAAATCTTTGTCCTTACTAAAATTTCTATTGAAAGTTTTGTTGTTAATATTGTTTTTAAACATTCCATTTCTTGCAAATCTATGTCGCACTATAACATTTCTTACTTTGGAATTTATATGCTTTAAAGCGCAGAAATGTGAACTATCTTAGGTTGGTATGTGGCGCGCCTTCAGTGATGTGCTTACTAAAGTGCAAAGTGTTAATTCTTTAATAGAAAATTACACCAATATTCAGATTAAATTTTTTGAATTTTGGCTGCGTTTCTTTATACATTCCGGATAATCTCATTTCACAGCCGGAACAAACAGAATACGTTTGAAATATACGTTAGCATATCATCAGGAATATTCTAAAGAATAAGTAAACAAAAAAGTTTATTCCAAATGTTCAGAATGAATAAAGAAATGCAGCCTTTGTATCAATATTTGGAATATCGAGTATTTTTATTACGATATTTTTACAGCGATACTGTAAATGAGTACTATATCGATACTTTCGATTCGATGTCGGGTCTCACCTTGTTATCACATAGTGTTTATTGTTGGACAATTTTTGCTCTTAAAATTAAAAAAATAAAGAAAATCATGTGGAGCTAAATTATAACTACTCAAAAATGCGAATATGTGGTAGATTTTAGACCTTGTGTGGTAGATGTGGTGGATGCTCCAAAAAGTGGTAGATCTACCACAATGTGGTAGTAGTCCGATCATTGCTGGAAATCGATCCGGTACTCGGTTCTCTGACTATTGAGAGGACAAAAAAAAAGAGTAAATACGGTTCTCTCTCTGTCAGAAGTTACCAGTTTTAGGGCCGGTTACTCAATATCTGGTTAACACTAATCTCCGGCTAAACATAGTTATCGACGTTACCGACTCCCTGTTATATGCATGGAGTCGAAAACGTCGATAACGATGTTAAACCGCAGATTAGTGTTAACCAGACATTGAGTAACCGGCCCTTAGTCCGAGAATTTTTTACTGGTAAAATCGGTAAATGTGTCAAACGATCAGCAGTAGTGTGTTTGGCAACCAAATTGTAAGCAAAAGAAAAGTGCGCTCTGCTAATTCATGTTGAAAATTATTTAATTACGTGTTTAAGTGGATTCTAATAATTTGAAAGTATTTTTGGTTATTTACATGTGTAAGCTAAGTGTGTTTACATACAAAATAAGCAAAAATTGACAACCCAAATTTGGAGGTTATTTTGAAGTTGACAGAAATTACCATTTTTTACTAGTAAGCGATCCCGTACTTTTCAATGTTACTCTCTCGCTCTGAGCGAATTTTTATTTTTTGACAGTTTTACTAGTTTTAGTCCGAGGAATACGGGATTGCACCTTTAATTTTTTCCAATTTAAATTTTTTTTTTTGTATTTCACATTTCAGAAGAAAAAAATCAGAACAGTTTTTGACCATTGTTGCCGTTTTAGGTCTTTGGTAGCTAGATTTAGCTACACGCACACGGTAATTAGAGCGTAATACCATGTTCTGACCGACATCGAAAACATGTTTTCGTTGCTAAAACTGGTTTTCGACCTAAAACTTGTGTTTTCGTCCATGTAAAATCTGTCAAACGAAAACTAGTTTTCGCTAAAACCACTTGAAAACTCACGTTCCACTCATTACAATCGGTGTCTGGACTAGTTTTTTCGATTATTTATCGTAGTGGAAGCCATATTTTATCAGCTTTAATACGTCATTTCGGATTTATTTTTAATTGGGTGGCCAAAATAAAGCATGGAAGAAAAGCTTGTGAATGAAAAGAAATTGAAGGAACAGTATTTTGGTTTTGTTTTTGTGTAGCAAAACTGTAAACAAAGGATGAAAGAAATTTCAACGAAAACACCAACAGTCGCTGTGAACAGCCTTCAGCCCACAATACCAAAACTCGTTTTCAAGGTGTTTTCGTTGTCGGTCAGAACATGGTATAAAAATAAGTTACTCAAGCCGGTTGTTCAATGTCTGGTTATCACTACTTCACGGTTAAACATCATTATCGACTTACATTGCTAAGCAAAGCAAAATATATAAAATCCATAGCAATTTTGACGAGTAAAAAGCAGCACAAAATTGTTTTCTTGGCGTTCATTGTGGCATACTTTTTGCGTCTGGCGCTTTGCTGGCAAAGTTATACATGCCACGCAAAGCTACAAAGTTTTATCTGGCATCAGCTTAATTGTAAAGCTGAAATTAGTCAAGAACGTAAACCTACCGGTACGTAAACCCGAGTCAGCTGACACGATCTGTCTTACCAAAGCGCCATGTAAATGAAAACTCAACACCGCAGAATTTTTCTGTAGTTGTAGCCCGTAGCGCAGAAATCTGCGGAATTTAGATTTTTCCGTGTCAGCTGATTTCTCCTTCTTTAGATGGATGCCACTTCGTCAGTTTTACAGATGGTAAAAAAGATATAAGTTCCTACTCAAAATATGTTTAAAATATTTGAAATTTACTATTGAATAAGGTTTTTGTTGAAAACTAAATAGTTTATATTTAGCTAAAATCTATTATAGCACGAAAAATTGTAGTTGAAAGGGTAAGTTTATGAAAAGGCATTGATGAGTGGCAACAGTGTAGTAAGCAACACTGAGGGCTCCAGTAATCGACAAAATTCTGCGTATACAGACTGCGTTTAAGTATACGTTCTGCGTTCTCGACTAATTTCAGCTTAAGTTTACAAGACTATCGAAAACTATCGATAGCTATCGATGGTTTCTAAAGAACTATAGGCCCGTCCACATAGAACTTTGGCGTTGCGTTGGCGTTGGCGTCGCTTCAACAGCTGACTATGAATACATGAATTCAAATGCAGCCGTCCACATAGCCAAAATTTGACAACGCTCACGCCAACACAAAGCAAAAAGATGGCCAACTCTCAACTTTTCGCGTGCGTCGCTCGTCAGCTGTTGCAAATAAATAAAATTATGTGAAATATTTTTCCTTTTTTATAAAGTGCGGGCAAGAAATATCGTTTTCAATGCAATTATTGATAAGAAATATTAATTTATCTGTCGTTAGTATGTTAATTTAGTGGCCCAAGGATTCGCTGCCAAGCGTTCATTGTAGCAAGCATACTTTTAACGTGCGTTCTGTCAAACCAACGCCAACGCCAAAGCCAACGCGAAAGTTCTATGTGGACCGGCCTTATCGCAATGATAGTGTCGACTATCGATAGTCGATTTGTCGGATGGTCGACTTTGAAAAGCATTAAAATTGTACCATACCTTATATCGAAATATTTTCGAAATCTTTATTTTCCCTGTATTTCCAGAAAATATTCTCGGATTTGCAATTCTATTTTTTATCAAATACGACTTGTGTTATCAATACAGCAGTGGCAGGAATTTCAAATGGATTTAACAAATATATGCCGTGCCTGTTTGTCGTCGGAAGATCGGGAGCATCTGCTAGACTGGTATCAGCCCGTTGACTCTTTGGATATATCATACAAAGAGTGTTTTTGTAAATGTACACAAATTAATTTAAGTTTGAAAGACGATCCAAATCACAGTGTAGATCCAAATGAGCTCGATGATACCCGAATGCAATATCTATGCTTTGATTGTGCCCAAAAACTTAAAGACGCCTATGATTTTATTGAAAAGGCGAGAAGGGCTGATAATGAATTACGTCGCACACAAACGGAAAAAGTGAAGATAGAAAGTATAGCCAAAACCTTTGAATGGGTTCCAGTACATGAAGAGCTAATGGAAGTAAATAAGCCGCCAGATCCTGTAGATATGGTATATCAAATATGACTTACCTAAATATAATTAAACAATAATTATTTTTATTCGTTCACAAGGATCACATGGATGATATAAAAGTACCACCATCTATGGATGTCGAACACGAAATAAATATTGATAAAAAAAGGAGTGTCAGTACAACAATGTTTCTAATTGAATCGGATAAGGATATGCAGAGGTGCAATAACTTGAATGAAGCCGGGCTGGTCTTATCGAAAAAAAGTAAACGACTCAACCTTGCTCATACAAGACCGAAAAATGTAAAGACAAACGAAGTAAAATCGGAGGTGAAAACGAAAAAGGAAGTCAAAGACATGTCTGAGCCTGCGAAGTGCGAAGAATGTGGGAAAATCATGAAAAGAAGCTCATTAAAGCAACATAAGCAACGTCATAAACCAAAACCTTTTCTTTGCCAGGCTTGCCGTAAGTACTTCCATGCATTTTAATTTTTAGGATTATTTTGTTTGGTATTTCTTAAATTTACCTCATGTTAAACAATTTTTATTGATCTTGAGGCCGTTTATTATGCAAAATTATTATAAAAAAAAAGCTTTTTATAAATGATAGTTGGTGTTGTTGTAGCGACTACAACAACCTCAGCCAGATCGGTTAATCCCAAAGTAACAGGAGACTCAGAAAGCGTGCAGGGTAGGGTATTTCCATATGGAGGCGTTAGTTGAGTAGGGTTTAGTTGGCATGAGAAGAGATGTGTCGAGTCGTGAGTTGTCTCTCCGCCTGCCGGACAGTCATTGGCCACATCTGCGCCTAATCTGCTCAGGTTCGAGCTTAACCTGCTGCAGAAGCCAGAGCGAAGTTGGGCTATTGTGGTCCAAGTCTCCCGAGGCAGACGAAGCTCTCATTGATATAGTGTGTTTATTGTGCTTGTGCTTGTGCTTGTGTGAATGCATGGTGCAATTATTAAAGGTATTGTCTTCCCAGAGAGTTTTGCTTCACATCGAAATTCGTGCGTCCTTATTTTCATTTTGACGCATTTCAATGTTGGTTCTTTTACTTTTGGTTTTGGTTTTGGTTGGATTTGCTTTTGGTAGTCGCTCAATTAAATTTTTATAATTTTTCAAAAAAAAAAAAAAAAGAACGTTTGAAATAAATTGAGCCATAAAAATTTGTCTTTTGTTTACTACGCAAATGTTTATTTTTAGGCCTTTGCCAATTAAATAAGTTCTCTGCAAAAAGGTTTCTTTAAAAAAATACATGGACATATATGGTATATGGTGAATAGAAATATCCCGTTTCCATTACAGTAAACCTTTAAGTGTGGGCAACAATGATATTTTTCAAATAAGGCAGATCGGAATATGCGCTCTCAGGGAAGACAATACCTGTAATTATTGTACCATGGTGTGAATGTGTCGTGTATATACATTTATATTCTTGTTTGACGTTAGTTTTGTTGTTGCCATTCTTTGCACTAAAAATTTGGTTTTTTGCGTTTCTTTACATTTTCCTGTAATTCTCTTTTAGCGAGCGAATTTTGCTTACGCTCTTGCATTTTGACACTTTTCAGATTTTAGTCCGAGAAGATGGACCTAATGACGTTTGCTAAAATTTCAAAATCAAAAGTTATCAAAACAAATTCTTTGGGACTGAGAAATATTATTTTCTAATTTTTAATCCATTTATAAAAGCGTGGCATATTAAAAAGTTTTTTTTTATTTTATTTATTTTATATAATTCAACTTCCAATGAAAAGAGAACCGAAGGCTATGCAAGCAAATATTTTGTGCTCACGTTTAGTATATGCATACATATGTACATACATACATATAGCTGTACCGTATGTGGTGCATTTTTTAGGTGTAATATTTAACTTCTGCTGGCGGTGCGACATCTAGAGTCTTCTAATTATGTGTATTTGATATGATATCTACGACGAGGTTGATATCTAGACTTTGCCATAAATACCTTTGCTATATTTATAGTATAAATGGTGGTCTGGACATACAACATTGCAAATTGATAAAAGCGTTGTAAAAAGGCCTCAAACTAAAAAAAAAAAAATTGCTTAACATGATTTGTTTGTTATAAAGCCAATAAGAGCAAAAAACAACAAATTCTTAAATTTACCTTCACCAGCAAAAACTTTTATGGAGTTCAGTGCTCTAAAAAATCATGAGCTCAGTCACAATGGGAAACGAGAAAGATTTCCGTGCGATATATGTAACCAAAGCTTCGTAACTCCGTACACTTACAAGAAACACAAATTGACACACGAAAACAACCGCAAACCAATATATCAATGTTCGCAGTGTGAAAAATCATTTCTTCAAAAAAATGGCCTTACAAACCACGAGCTCCATCATAAGGGAGTTACGATAGAATGCCAAATTTGTCAAAAACGTTATGTGCGACAAATTGACCTAGATGTTCATTTACGCACTCACTCTGGAGAATCGCCATTTTCGTGTCACCTTTGTGAAAAATCGTTTATACACAAACGTATTCTAAATAGGCATATGCAGAATCATGGATATTTCAGTTACAAGTGCTTGATATGTGGTTCTAAATTCTCCAAATATGATCAATATCATAATCATCGCATGCAACACACTGGATTACCTTATAAATGTGGCGTTTGTGAAAAGCAGTTTCCAGATACTTACAAGTTAGTAATAAAGTATGATTTTGCCCAATATATATGTATATATATATATATATATGGGTATGTGTATGTATATAATTTTTCAGAACTAAGCGTCATATAAGAGGCGTGCACAAAATTGGAGAAGACAAGGAGATGCAGAAACTCGTTGTAAGAATAAATATAACAAAAGAATATAGAGGACGAATAGTCGAAGTTTTGGAGAAACCAGATGATGATAAACCAACTTAGTACGATATTCATGGGATTTTATTTTATTAAATTTTATGTAATAAAATGCCATTCAAATCAAAATGGTAAAAGGTGTTTTTCTCAATTTTCTAAATATTTAAGGGGATGTCTTTAAGATGTCGACTTACATATAATATGCACATACTAGGACATTCAATCACGAAGTATTTTAACAATATCGGGATTTCGCGATGAAAAAAATTTAATCCCGGGATCCCGCAATTTTTCGGGATTTCCAATTCATCACATTTTTTTGCGATTTACAGTAGGTTCGCCTTTTTTTCCTCCCTTTTATTAGCTCGGGATTTAACTATGTAACATTGATGCGCCTAAAAGATGCAGCGATTTCTATTCTCAAATTACATACCTGATGACAGTACGAAGGAAAATTATAATAGCGAGTTTTAGTTTCTTAGGGCCGGTTACTCAATGTCTGGTTAACACTAATCGGCGGTTAAACATCGTTATCGACGACTTCGACTCCATGCATATAACAGGGAGTCGGTAACGTCGATAACTATGTTTAACCGGAGATTAGTGTTAACCAGACATTGAGTCACCGGCCCTTAGGGCCTTCAAATTAGGCATTTCAAATTAAGAAAAAACTTGAATTACTAATTTATATGATATCGGCTAAAACACTTGAACTTATCGCAACAGAGAAATATTATTTTAACAGTTTTAATCTTAGTTGATCCAAGGTTCAAGAAAAATGCTTTTACGGATGAAGAAGCCTTTCAGGGAGGAGATTCTGTAACCAGTTAGCGACAAGTTTCTGATCGATATCGCACTTGTTGACGTAAAAATATTTCATATCATACGTCAACAAAACCGATGCCGATTCGAAAATTGTCGCTAACTGGTTACAGAATCTGCCCCCAGGCCTACAAAAATGATATCGTCCGATTCAGCTGGAACAAAAATGCTTCAAACAAGTAAGAGTGTATCTGCATTATGGCCTCGAACCGACATATATACATCTTTTATTTGAATCCGTATTAAAAGCTCTATTGGCTCCTACATTCGGATTTTTATAGGCGAGTCTCCATTGAACCGTTTTTCCATATAATTGGCCTATTTGCGCTTTTATTCGAAACCTAAATGTTTCGGTACCGAGTATCGGGAGTATTGGATTCTTTTTAAATCAGTACCGAATGTCCGTCAATACTTAAAAGTATTGACTCAGCACATCATTAGAAACAGGCAAACATGTAAACACAAAACAGCTGATATGCACTTTGACACTAGCCATTTTTACCCGGAGAAAAAGTCCGGGCTGTTTTGGGCGGGAAGAAGAAGATACTTACGATCCAATACGTTCCAATTTTCGCTCTCTATTATACCATGTTCTGACCGACAACGAAAACACTTTGAAAACGAGTTTTGGAATTGTGGGCTGAAGGCTGTTCACACCGGCTGTTAGTGTTTTCGTTGACATTTCTTACATCCTCTGATTGCAGTTTTGCTACACAGAAACAAAACCAAAATGCTTTTCCCACATTTTCTTTTCATTAGCAACCTCTTACTTTCATTATTACTTTAGTTTGGCCAGCCAATTAACAATAAATACGAAATGGCGTATTAAAGAAGATAAAATATGACTTCCACTTCGATAAATAATCGAAAAAAACTAGTGCAGGCACCGATTGGAATGAGTGGAACGTGAGTTTTCA